TCCTGTGTAGTAGGCACTCTCTGCCCAAAGAGCCAGTCTTTTCTGGGCTGTTGATTTGTCCAACTCCTGGGGGATCTGTTCATCTGGGGGTGTCACTTGTTCCAGCTTCTCCCCCTCCCCCACAGATCAGCTCAATCCCTGGAGAACTGAAGCCCTTCTTCCATAACCAGCGACCCTGAATTCCAACATCCAGCCACTGGCCTTGAGCTGCTGGTCCCCCACCACCACACCTTTCCCGCAGTCCCCAGGGCCCCAGGCAGGCTGGTCTTGGCTCTCCCTGCAGGTGGTGGTGTCCACGACGGTGAGCGTGGATGGGCACGTGCTGGCTGTGTCCGACAACATGTTCGTGCACAACAACTCCAAGCATGGTCGCAGGGCTCGCCGCCTGGACCCATCTGAAGGTCAGGATCCCCTGCCCAGCCCTGCGCCTGGGCCCAGCCAGTCTCCAGTCCCCACCCTGGTGCGGTCCCCTGACCTGGGTCCTCTCCTGCCTCTCAGCTGCCACCCCCTGCATCAAGGCCATCAGCCCTGGGGAGGGCTGGACCACGGGCGGCGCCACCGTCATTGTCATCGGCGACAACTTCTTCGACGGGTTGCAGGTCGTGTTCGGAAACGTGCTCGTGTGGAGCGAGGTGGGCCACCCCCGCCGGTCTCCTCCAAGCCTCGGGGCTGGGCCCTCCCCTCGCCGGGACGGGACCTGCAGGCCTCCCCTCTCCCTTAGCAGCTCATCACGCCCCACGCCATCCGGGTGCAGACGCCCCCGCGGCACATCCCTGGGGTGGTGGAGGTGACCCTCTCCTACAAGTCCAAGCAGTTTTGCAAGGGAGCCCCTGGCCGCTTTGTCTACACAGGTAAGGAGTCAGGCGGGGGAGGGGAGGCCTAATTTCCTCGAGGGAGCCCCACCCCGCTCATTAATCAGAATCTCTGGTGTGGCTACGCCCCCTAGGAGTCCCTCCCCATCTGCATCCACCTATACCCCTTGATGCTCCTTGAGAGGGACCTTCTTTCCCAGGTCTTCTACGTTTCCCCCTGGGGCCTCTGGCTCCTCAGCCCCTCCGGAGCTGTGTCCTCGCCCTCCGGGACATTCAGGCCTCCTATCCCTCCGCCCTCACTCGCTAGAGTCTAGAATCTTTCCAAAGGAGTTTATTTCAGAGATGCCCCAAATGGACTCGTTGCTCCCCAAAGTTTTCCTGGGCCTCTCGGGTCCCTCCGGCCAGCCTCACTTTGCACGCACACGCACTTACACGCAGGTGAGCACGCGAGCGCGCGCACACACCCCTTGCACCACGCCGCGGGGGGCAGTTAACACAAGGCGCAGTGTAGAATCCCCTATCCTGGCTGTTAGTCTCCAGGCCGGATCTAAGGATCTACTCTTTCCTCCCGCCCCGCCCCTGCCCAAGCCACCCTTCCCATCTCCATTCCCCGCCAACCCCCCAACACATTTACACCGCGCCCTTCGCGGGGCAACAGACACTCGGCATTGACTCTGCCTACCCCGGGGGGGGGGGGGGGCTCCGCTCTGACCCGGAAAGTCGACTGTGAACAGTGAAGGGCGGGTGGAGTATGAGGTCGCAGGGGCGGGCAGTGAATGTGAATCCCGCTGCTCTCGAACTGGAGGGACAAACTGGGAGGTAGATACGGGGGAGGAAGGACGGTGACGGAAAAGGAATGTCACGTCAAAGACCCAGACCTGAGTGTTCTATGCCTTGGGGAGAGCGAAAGGAAATTATTCTAAATTTGGAGTTGGAGGGGTAGGACCTTGAAGCTCGGGAGTTAGGTCAGGGCCAGGCTACCCAATAAGGAGGGGGTGAAAAGGGAAGAGGAGCAGGAGCGCGGCCAAAAGAAAGCGGGTGGGAAACGGAGTTCCAAGGCCCCGCACGCTCCCCAGAGCCCTGAGCGTGGGCCAGCCCGGTCCTGACTCAGGTGCTTGCGAATCTAACCGTCAAAAGCTGCCAAATCCGCCTGAGCCGCGGTAAACGGGGAGGGTTGGGGCTTTCCTTTTTTTCTTTTTAAAAATCAACTCCTGGGGCCAGCAGGTAGTGGGGTGGTTAAGAGCGCTGGATTCCCACATGGTTGATTGCTGTTCGCGTCCCAGACCTGGTGATTTTCTTTCTCGCTTTTCCCTTTCTCTCTCTGTCTCTCTCTGGTCAAATTAAAATAATAATACTAATTATAATAGTAAATGGAATTAAATGAAAGTAAATACTTCTTTAAAAATATAAATAAAAATCAACTCCTGATATTACCAAATGCCAACAGAAAACTCTCCCTCCAGTCCTGCCCCCAGGAAGATAGAAGCTCATAGATACATACTTCTTTTTCCTAATCAAAAACGGGATCATACGGTGCTTACGTGTTAATGCCAAGCGCCTAGCACAGAGCCTGGCTCGGTAAATGTTAGCTGAATGAACAAACGAAGGAACTGAGAGTTCCCCGAACCTGGCTGATCCTGCCCGGAGTTTTCCAGGGCTCGGACCGGGCTTGGAGGAGGAGGAGGTCTGCAGAGGCTCCCGGTTGCTCGAGTCCTCTTTGCGCCCTGCGTCCTCGGCCCAGAGCGGCATTTTCCAACACCGCCCCTTCTCCCCAGCCTTGAATGAGCCCACCATCGACTATGGATTCCAGAGGCTTCAGAAAGTCATTCCTAGACACCCCGGAGACCCCGAAAGGCTGCCCAAGGTACTCAGAGGGGCGGGACGGGACGGGATGAGAGTGTCCTGTAGGCGAAGAGGTGAGCAGGGGCTCCCAAGGGCCCCCCTTGCTGCCCCCAGGGGCTGTCCCTCCGTCCCGCTGCCTCCCCCCCTGTCCCCAGGAAGTGCTGTTGAAGCGGGCGGCCGACCTGGCGGAGGCGCTGTACGGAGTGCCCAGCAGTAACCAGGTATGGCGCTTCCGCCCGCCTCCTAGCGCCGCCCGGCCCAGGGCTCTCCCCCGCCCGGAGCCTGCGGCTGCCCCGGCCGTGCCCCGCTCTTGTCTTCGCAGGAGCTCCTCTTGAAGCGCGCGGCGGACGTGGCCGAGGCTCTGTACAGCGCCCCCCGAGCGCCCGCGCCGCTCGGACCCCTGGCTCCGAGCCACCCACACCCCGCGGTCGTGGGCATCAACGCCTTCAGCAGCCCGCTGGCCATCGCCGTCGGGGACGCCACGCCCGGGCCCGAGCCAGGTGTGTCCGCCATCCCGCACCAGCCCTGGCAGTCCCGGGAACCCCGACGCTGCTCCCTGCCAGTGCGGCTCCCTAACGGCTTTCTCTCACAGGATATGCACGCAGCTGCAGCAGCGCGTCTCCCCGCGGGTTCGCGCCCAGCCCCGGCTCGCAGCAGAGCAGCTACGGCAGCGGCCTCGGAGCTGGCCTCGGCGGCTATGGCGCGCCGGGGGTGGCTGGCCTTGGCGTGCCCGGGTCCCCTAGCTTCCTCAATGGCTCTACAGCCACCTCGCCCTTCGCCAGTGAGTGTCCCACGCCCGCGGGGGTAGTAGCCCGGGCCCAGGGAAGCAGGGTGGAGCTTAGCCCTGCCCCTCAGCCGATCCTGGGACGGCGGGGGGTCGGGACGAGGTCTTTTGGCACCTGCTCTGTGAGGGTCGACACTGGCCTTGCTTTTGGAGCAAGTTCAGCCATCCCAGCGTGTGATCTTTCCCTTTGGTTGGAACCCGACCCCACCTGTAGCCGCAGACCCCAGGGTCCTGGGGCCAGAGTGTTTCTTGCACCTTTAGCGGTCCCGATCCCACTTTATGCATCGCTCCCAGCCCTGGAAGCCTCCTGGTTTTAACTGGGGGAACTGAAACCCGGTCCTGCGCTGGGACTTCAGAAGGAGGCTGGTGCCCCCTGCCGGAAGCCTGAGAAAACTCAGGGCTCGAGAGAAGCGGGCTTCGAGAGCTGGCCCCAGGCCCCGCAGAGTGGGAGAGGCCACGTGGGCGGTGGGAGGCTGTGGCTCCCTGCCATGTGGACGGACAGAGCAAGCGAATTCTGTGTGGTCAGAGCTGACCTCAGAGGATAAGTGGTCAGATCAGGAGCTGCCAGACATTCAACAAATTACTTCTTTGAACTTTAGTTTCTTAGTAAAATGAAACCAATAGCTCTTTCTCTCTCTCTTTTTTTTTTATTTGAGAGAGATTTTTTTCTATAGGGTGCGTGCACTCACCGAAGAGACAGAGAAAGTGAAAAATCACCCCTCAAGGGGGATGGCCACACAGCAATCCCTTCTCCATGCCCAGTGTGATTTTCAAGCTACCAGGTCCCAGATTCAAACTGTGGTCAGTCATGTGGGAATCCAGCACCCTAACCACTGGGCTACTTTCTAATTCCAAGACTAATAGCTCTCTTGTATAAAGTTCTTCTCAGACCTGAGTGTGCCACTGAGCCCAGACAAAATTCAGGAAGAGTGAATGATTTTGCAGTCCCAGCCCCAACTGTAGGCATTAACCAACTTCCATCTGGCTTCTTAGACTCGGGCAGCCCAGAGCCAAGTGGGTGGCTAGCAGGGCTCGGATGCTTTGCCACTTTATACTGCCCCCAAGTCTCTTCCAGCATCAAGTTCCAGATCACCAATTTATAGCTCCTTAGCACAGTCACTTATTTATTTGTTTGTTTTTAGCGAGAGATTTTTACTATGGGGCATGTGTGTTCACTGGAAAGACAAAGTGAGAAATCACCCCCCCTCCCCGGGGTGGCCATGCCACAATCTCATCTCCTCCATTCTCCTCTTGGGGTTTTGGGCATACTTGCACATGTGCCTGGTAAGAGTTTTAAACTGCCAGGTCCAAGGCTCAAAACTACGGTTGACTACGTGGGAGTCCAGTGACATAACTATTACGCCATTTGTTGGTCCCGGCATAGCCATTTATAAAGCACCTACTGTGGATAAAGCATTGGACTTCGGGGATAACTCCACCCCTGCTCTTCTGCAAGGAACCCCCATCTATCTGTCAGAAGAAAGGTTGTCCTTCAAGTCCTGGGAGACACTCCTAAGCTGGAGACACGGTGAAGGCTGCCTGACAAGCCAGTGGTGGCTTTGCTGCGGTTCCCTCAGTGCTCCCTGTCCTGTGTTTGCCATTGCTGAGAACAGAACTACCCGGATACGGGCCTAGCTTTCTGTGCCAGGGGCCCGTGTTCTGTGTGCTGCTCTATGTGCCTGTGGACTTTAGCCGGGTCCTCTGGCCTGGGTTTAACTTCTGGAACTCAGAGCCTCGTAAGCCTGAAGTCCACATGGGCCATGGCCCTCTGGTGTCCCTCTCAAGGCTTCTCCTCCTCTGGCCCTATGCTCAGGCCAGGCTCCACTGTTGCTGCTTCCCTTCAGTGCTGAGACAGGACCTTCACAACCTCTCTCTGGGTGCCCCTGGAATGTGAAGCTTTCCCCTAGGCCAGCTGTGGTGGGGGCTGGGACACCGCCCTCCTCCCCTACACATACATAGTGCAGTCAGCAATGGAGGGGCACGCTGCCCAGTATGCGGGAGCCAGCCCCCTGGGCTCTCCCCATTCAGCAAGATCAAGAATTCTAGAGCTCTTGGGACCAGCAGATGGAGTAATGGTTACATCACTGGATTCCCGTGTAGTTGACTACAGTTTGAGTCCTGGATCTGGTGGCTCAAAATGCACATGGAGCATGTGTGCATGTATGCCCAAAATGCTAAGAGGAGAATGGAGGAAAAGGGATTGAGGCATGGCCATCTCGCTTTCTGTCTCTCCATCTCTCTCTGACTCTTTGGCAAGCACACATGCCCTATAGCAAAAATCTCTCTTAAAACCAAAAAGAATTCTAGATCTCTTAAGTTCTGCTTCCAGCATGAGCTGGGGACACCCCGGACTCACCCAAGGGTCAGTCCCATCCATCAGCTATCTTGCCCAGTGTCTACCCAGGTCCTCATCCACCCTCATGTTCAGGGTACTTTGTAGAATGACTACAGAGGGTGTCGTCGTTAAGTTCTTCAGTTCTCATCAAAATTGCCTCAGGTGGCGTGGTGGTTAAGGCACTGGATTTCCACATGGCTAACCGTAGTTCAAGCCCCAGACCCGGCTGCTTAAAAATCATGCTGGAAGCGTGTGCATATGCGCCCCAAATCCCCAAAACAGAAAGAATTGCAGCATGGCCATTCCCCTGGGGGAGATTTCTCATTTTCCCTCTCTGTCCCATGGCAAAAACCTAAACAAACGAACAAAAATTGTCTCAGCCAGAAGGTCCGAGGCTATCTGCTGTGTGTCCCTTTGCTCTTCTGTTCAACCACTAGGCCCTGGAATGGACTACAACTCTCTGTGCTACCTGAGCTACACCTCCATCTCTCTCTGACTCTTTGGCAAGCACACATGCCCTATAGCAAAAATCTCTCTTAAAACCAAAAAGAATTCTAGATCTCTTAAGTTCTGCTTCCAGCATGAGCTGGGGACACCCCGGACTCACCCAAGGGTCAGTCCCATCCATCAGCTATCTTGCCCAGTGTCTACCCAGGTCCTCATCCACCCTCATGTTCAGGGTACTTTGTAGAATGACTACAGAGGGTGTCGTCGTTAAGTTCTTCAGTTCTCATCAAAATTGCCTCAGGTGGCGTGGTGGTTAAGGCACTGGATTTCCACATGGCTAACCGTAGTTCAAGCCCCAGACCCGGCTGCTTAAAAATCATGCTGGAAGCGTGTGCATATGCGCCCCAAATCCCCAAAACAGAAAGAATTGCAGCATGGCCATTCCCCTGGGGGAGATTTCTCACTTTCCCTCTCTGTCCCATGGCAAAAACCTAAACAAACGAACAAAAATTGTCTCAGCCAGAAGGTCCGAGGCTATCTGCTGTGTGTCCCTTTGCTCTTCTGTTCAACCACTAGGCCCTGGAATGGACTACAACTCTCTGTGCTACCTGAGCTACACTGTGTGGCTGTGAGCCTTGGGCCTTGAGAGACATGGTACACTTTCTGTCATTGGTCTCAAGCCCTCCAGGGGGCGCCATCGGTCTCACCAGCTAGCAGAGAGCTTTGTCTTTAAGGACATAAGGATCTCCCAGGCTGAGGACATTGGGAAGAGGGGCTTCTGCTGAGAGCATCATGGTATCGAGTTGAAGGAAGGAGAGTCTCTGATGCCAAAGGCAACCTTCTCTAGCTCTTGGTTCCTCTGAGGAAGTCCGTGCCCTCACCCCATCGCCCGCTGGGAGGACAACACTCAGATCACAGTTTTATTGGTCTTTAAAGGAGAGAGAGAGGGAAGTAGGCTCAGGTGAGGGATAGGAAAGTAGAATCCAGAGGTGCCTTGTGCAGGAGTCCCCAAGGAAGGAGGCTGCGGGAAGAAAGGGCAAGTAAAGCTCGCGTGCAGGGAGCTCCCTCGCTCTTCTCAGGAGAGCAAGTCACACCTGGGTGACTAGGGACTTGGAGGACAGGGAGATTTGAGACTGTATGAGGGGGACTTCAAAAAGTTCATGGAGGGACCAGCAGGTGGTGTGGTGGTCAGAGGCGTTGTACTCCCACATGGCCGACCACAGTTCAAGTCTCGGACCTGGCGGCTTGCTTTCTCACTTTCTCTCTTTCTCTCTGTCCCTCACTGGTCAAATTAAGATAGATAAATAAATAAATAAATAAAGATAAATAAAATAATTCTTTAAAAAGAGAACTGAGCAGAGAACCCCAAATTCATTTATTCATTTTTTTAGAGGTTTTTGCCATAGGGCATGTGCGCTCACCAGAAAGACAGAGAGAGAGACAAAGAGATAGAAAGCGAGAAATCACCCTCCAGGGGGGATGGTCACGCCGCAATCCCTTCTCCTCCATTCTCCTCAGGATCCTGTGCATGCATGCACACGCGCCCTGCGTGAGTTTAAGCCACCGGGTCCGGGACTCGGACTGTGGTCGACTACGAGGGAGTCCAGCGACATAGCTATTACACCAACTGCTGGTCCTGAGAACCCCAACTTTATTTTTTTAAAAAAGTTCGTGGAAAATGTGGATTATGAAAAAACTGTTAATATATATATTTCAAAGTTTTTGTACCAAAATAAATTTGTCCATTTGTCCATGAACTTTTCGAGGTCTCCTGGTAGATCCCTACACTTTGCTTTGAAATTGACCCTCTGGAGGAGGGAAATACAGGAGTCCTCCAGGGCCCTAGCTGGACCTGCATTAGCGCCCTGGGTGTGGGGAATGAGGGTGGAAGCAGATGGAGCGGAGTGCAGAAGGTGATGTAAGGAAAGTGTATTTGTGGAGCAGTTAGGGTGCTTGCTGTGCGAGCTGTAATCTTGGGCAGAGAGGCCTTATAATAGGGACCTAAACGTACCCCTGAACTTCATCCCTGATTGCCTGACCCCAGCTCTTCAGTGGCCCTTGATACTGTGACGCCAGCCTTGGCAACCCAGGGCCCATAAAGATTCCTTAGTGTCTCAGTGTCCCAGTGATTCTCCGCCGGACTCCCTCGTCCATCTCTTACTTCTCATCTTTGGAGGCACCTCCTACTGTTTGATTTTGTTGGGCACTCTGGTTTTGTTTATGTCTTCATCTGGTCTGGCCCAGCCCACCTTCAGACCCACCCTGTCCTGGTCTTGAGTCCAAACGTCTTCATCTGGTCTGGCCCTGAGAAAGGGGCTTCAGAACCCCCAAGAAGGTGAGGGCTAGCCCAGGACCCCAGAGTCTCCTAGCCCACCTTCAGACCCACCCTGTCCTGGTCTTGGCAGGCCCTCACAGCCCCAGGTCTGCTCCTGGTGCCAGGGTCAGCAGCCCTGCAGGGCCCCCTGCCCAGCTGCTCACTCTGGTGCTGTCTCCCTGTTGTGTTTCCCACTGCCTTCCCTGCTGCGTCTGACCCTCCCCGCCCCGTCCCGGAGTCATGCCCTCTAGCCCCCCGCTGGCAGCCGCCTCCTCCATGTCCCTCCCGGCCGCTGCCCCCACCAGCAGCGTCTTCTCCTTCTCGCCTGTCAACATGATCTCCGCCGTCAAACAGAGGAGCGCCTTTGCCCCCGTGCTGCGTCCGCCCAGCTCTCCCCCTCAGGCTTGCCCCAGAGCGCAAGGAGAGGGGCTTCCAGGTGAGTGACCACCCTGCCTCGCTGGCATGAGGGAGGGCAGGGCCCAGGGGCAGCAGCTGGGCTTGAGGGGCCATGCTGTCCACATCTCACCAGTGCCTCCTCTTCCTGAAGGGTGCAGAGCAGGAGTCTCAGAGGGTCCAGGGATGCCCACCTGCGGCCTCCCAGTCTGGGGTGGCAATCATTCTGGGCACTCTCAACGGGCCACACAGCCAAAAGGAAGGGATTCAAGTCACAGCTGGAGAAGGCCTGGAAGCCACCCCAGCCCTATCCCCATGGAGTTAACCCTTGGGAGGTAGAGGAATCCATCAGAGCTGCCAGCCTTAATCCTGTGCCTGCCTGTGTCCACCAGAGGGTAGCACACACCAATGTGAGAGCCATCGTCACTCGCTGGGCGGAAGGAGAGTGACCTTAGATAAGGCTTAGCCCAGCCCTCTCCCATTTTGCAGATGAGTTGTGACCAGGTCACCCCTCTGCATTCCATCGGTGACATGGTTGTTCTCGCATTTACACTCATGTGTCAGACTAACATGGCATGGTCACTGGAATCTCACTAGCACTCGGAGGAAAAGACTGGCTGCAGGGAAGGAGGGGGTGGCAGTATGTGAGGCAGAGCAGGTCCCTGTTGCCAGACATGATTAGGGGTGGAGCTGGATAAGGGTGTCTTCCCCAAGAGACTTCCAGGTATTTCCGTGTTTGGCAAGGGGGCAATCTCTAGGGGCTGGCCCAGGACTTGATCTAGAGTTTAGTACCTACCTCGATGCCTGGTGCACAGTAGGTGCTTAGTAAACAGTGGCTGAATTATTGAATGAATTACTGAATGAATGAATAAACAGGCCAGAGGGCACCCTCCAAAAGGCAAAGGCTGCAGTGGAGTTTGCTGGGCACTGAGCTGAGAGAGGCTGGGATAGAGCATGACCCAGTGGATGTTCCTCAGGACAGCAATTGGCGTTCATTTTGGGGCCAGCAGGTGGTGCAAAAGTTAAGGCAGCTGGATCTCACATTGCCAACTGTGCAGCTCAAATCGTAGACCCGGTGGCTTGAAAAACACACTGGATGTGTGTGAGTGCATGCCCAAAATCATAAGAGGAGACTAGAGAAGGATTGTGGTGTGGCCATCTTTCTCACTCTCTGTCTCTCTCCAGCAAGGATATATGCCTTATAGCTAATTAACAAACAAATAAATAAAAGAATCAGTGTTCAAATTAGATAATGGGTTTGTTATTGAAGCATTTCTTCAGAGCCTTTATGGAGTACATTGTGAATCTTTTAGGGAATACAAGGTGCAAATGTATTTGAGCACAGAAAGTATTCTCTCTGGAAAATACTTCTAGAGATTAGTTCCCAGGGAATGACCTTGAGGCTGAGAAAGAGGCACTCTCATGGTTTCCTCTGCCTGATGTGGGAGTTAGTCAGGTTGGCACCAGCCACAGGAGCAAGGCCCAGGGTCATCTCTGAATCCAAGCCAGGGACGGGTGGACAGACCTGTGCCAAAGCAGAGGAGGGGACCAAGGACAGTACTCTGGGGGCTCTCTCTGGGCTTCACAGTCGCTATACAAGAAAGTTTGGAGACTCTGAAGAGAGAGTGGCGAACTGAAGTTGGCACATGTCCAGAGAAGCCATCAGTTCACCCAGAAGAGTGGCCTGCCCTGAGGTGGACAGAGCCATCCAGGGCAGCTCAGAAACTGCTCAGCACTAGATGGAGTGGGTCCCTTCCACCGTACTCCTCTAGAAAGTACCAGCAGGCCCGTGTTGGTGACTCAAGCCACGGACTGTCATGCTGGGGCGAGGGTAGCAAGGGGGCCAGTTGGTGAAACGTCCAGAGGGTGGGCCATCATCAGAGAAGGCCCGGCCCACGCAGGGTTTGAAGACTGAATCAGAGTCGTCAAAATATCCTGCAAAGCGGAGACCTCAGAGGGGTGAAGAGGCAGAGGTGGAGGGGAAGTAGGGATGCCAGAGCCCACATTCACATGGGAACCCAATATCCTGAGGAGCTGGAGGGCAGGGAAAAGGGGATTGCAGCAGATTGCGAGCCTGTCGAGGGTTCTCTTTCACTCTCTCTTCCCCCCTCGCTCCCTCATCCTCTTTCATGTGTGCATGAGCATGTGCACACATGCATTGGAAGAAAAACACACACGCCTTGCGTGCTGCTCCCAGGCCAGAGAGGGCTCCAGACTGCACATGACTTACGGCTCCTTTCTCCTTGGTTACCACAGACCAGCCTTTTGAGGATTCTGACAAGTTCCATTCTCCAGCCCGGGGGCTTCAGGGCCTGGCTTACTCCTAATTACGGTAGGTTTCTGGCTGGGTCTTGCCTCCTTCCTTGGCCCTGAGTTGGGCTGTCTCTCCAAAAAGTCCCTGGCAGGGGTGAGGAGCTGGGGTCCGAGTCTCCCTCCCCAGGGCCTGTCGAGACAGCTGTTGGTGGGGTATAGCCCACCCAGGTGGTCCAAGCTGACCCGGTGGGGAGAAGTGGCTGCCTGTTCCCTTGCAGCAGTCTTTCCCCAAGACCTTCTTTTCTCCCCCTCTGACCCCACCAGGTCTGCAGGTTTGGCCTGTGCTGAGCCCAAGCTGGAGGTCCCGCTGGGATTCACACTCACGTCCTGGATGGGGGCACAAACAGATGCAGGGCCGGGCCTACAAGCAGACCTCAAGCCATGGGCTGAACACGGAGAGGCCTTCGTCCCTGTGTCCAAGGGCCAGCTAAAAGCCCCAGCACTGTGCTTAGATGCGTGGCAGGAGGGCATCCCAGGGACTCGCTCGGATGCCAGGCCTAAGGTGCTGAGTCGGTCCCTCTGAAAGAAGTGGATCCTGTGCAGTCCAGGGAGGTCGAGTGAGGGGAGCATGGGATGGGGGCTGTAGGAAAGAGGACAGCTCAGGGAGAGGTAACCTGGAAAGGTCCTGTTTGCATCTGACCCATCTCAACTGGCCCAGCATCTCAGCTTCTCTCCAGCGCCAGGTGGAGGGGCCCAGCAGCCTCGGTACCCCTTCCCAGGCTCCCATGGAGCCTCCAATGGCTGCTGGCCCCCCGTGGTTGCCCCCACTTCCTTTGAGACCTGCATACTCATGCTTGTCACATCATGTCTCCCTGTGGGGCTTTGGGCACGGAGTAGGCAGAAGAGGGGCACAGGCCTTCTGAATTTGGAGTCTTCCCTCTGCGGATTCTGGATTCACACACACTGACTCTGGCTGGTCCCATGGAATGGGCCCAAGTGACCCCTAGGTGGCCTCATACTTTACTAAATTTGGAGAAAACAATAAACCAGATGCAGGTGGCCACCTGGCCTCTCTTGCCTAGTTCCTTGTGGCTGCTTTACTCAGCCATTCTGTGGCTCTCGTGGGAACCCTCCAGACCATGCCTCTAGGTGGCCTTCTTGTACCTTGGGCTTTTAAAACAGCCCTAGAGTTCAACTAAGCAAGTATTCATTGTCTTCTGTCTGCCCTTGGGTGCTGTGGGGGTGCGTGAGGAACAGGCTAGCAGGCCTGAGGGACCTACAGATGGGCTCTGCCCCGGGAGCTCTGGCCACTGAGGACTCAGCCCCCAGCTGTCTGACCAGATCCAATATGGGGCACCTTGGGTCATTACTGGGAACCAGGACTTCTGGTTCTGTGTACCCTGTGTACCCTATCCCAGGGATATAGAAGCTCAGAAGTGAGATCCACGCCTGAACGGAGGCTGTACGTTCTCACTGCGGGGTTCCGGAGCTGCCTCTCTGAGCTACACCCACCCCATCCCTCTTCTCCAGGCCCCAGCCCCTTCTGGCTCACCTGTCTCAGAGAGTGAGAGGAGGGGTGGTACGAAGGCAAGATTCCTAGGCTCAGTCATCTCCCCACTCACCGTCCCTCCCAGTGGTCCCTGTGACGTGTCCCCTGTCCAAAAACCTGCTGTCTGACCCTGAAAGCCACTTTTTGACACACTATCCAGTGAGCCCAGTGTCCAGCCCTAGGCCTCAGGCTTTCCCGTCTCACCTCAGCTTCTAGAAACCCTGTTTCTCCCAACCCACACACCCACCCTCTGCAGGCTCCAGGCAAACACGCTTGACAAAGCAGGTGGGCTGGTCCGGTCCTTCAGAGGCTTTCAGTTCTTTCTCAGCTGCTCTCAGCCAGCCCTGCTCTTGGACAGCCCCTGGGATTCCTCTCACCTGGTACCCATGACAGGGGTCACCCTGCCCTATTCTCAGCACTCACCTGGCCTCCCCCTGCGCTCCTGCTCGTGGCCCGTGTTACAACACTAACACCTGCCTGCCCAAGCCATGCTCCATTCAGCTCCAAGCCGTCCCTGCTGCCAGGCCCCTCCCAGACTGAGCCACTGCAGAACTCGAAGATGCACTGGACACAGGTGACTGGACAGTGGTCACACACTGGTTCCTGGGGTGGGTCAGGTGCCATCATTGCTGTGAGACACATCTGTCCTCAATGATCTCACCAGACTGCTCAAGCCACCCTTTGAGCAGCACAGCCTTCTTCATCCACTGCAGACGTTTCGTCAAGCAGGATGTTTGCTGTGGGTCGGATTATGTCTCCCCGGAGTGCGCATGCTGAAGTCCTAACCTCCCATGTAACTGTATTGACGATAGGGCCTTTAATGAGGTGATCAAGGTTGAATGAGGTCATAAGGGGAGTTTTAATCCAATAAAACTGGTAACCCCCACCTTTTTTTTTTTTTTAAGTTATGCTATAGGACAGACACATGTGCTCATCAAAGAGCGACAGAGAGGAAAAGTGAGAAATCACCCCCCAGAGCGGATAGCCATGCCACAAGCCCTTCTCCTCTCAGGATCTAGGGCATGCATGCACATGTACCCATTGTGATTTTTTAAGCTGCCAGGTCTGGGACTCAAATCACACAGTCAGCCAAGTGATCTAGCTGCCTTAACCTCCATGCCACCTACTGGCCCCCAAACTGGTGCCCTTATGAGAAGAGAAAGAGATACTAGAACTCTCTACCACGTGAGGACATAGCAAGAAAGCAAGTCAGGAAGAGAGCCGTCTCCAGGACCCAACTGGCACCTTAATCTAGGGCTTTTGGCCTCTATGGACTATGAAAAAATAAATTTCTGTGGTTGAAACTCTCCAGTCTGTGGTATTTTGTTATGTGTGGCAGCCTTAGCTGACTAATACAATGTTCTTTCCCACATGTCTTAATTTTTGGTTCCCTAGAAGCAAAACCGGAGATACATTCCCTGCTAGAGAATTCTGGGAGACATTGTATATCACAGAATTTTCCTACTCAAAGAACAACAGCATCTGGAGTATTGATCCTCCAGCTCTCATCTCCCTTGTCTGAGAGCTACTCCCAGGAAGCTAGCCCTCTGGCACTTTTGACCTGCCTATCTGCAGAGAGAAAAGACTGCCAGTTAGGCTTTCGCTGCAGGACGCGTAAGCAAATACTGAAACAGTGAGTCTGAGGGTTTATGAGCAAGGCATCAACAGACTCGGGTATGCCACAGAATCACCAGGATCATAGGATCATTTTCAACACAGCCACTGATCAGAGCTGTCACTCGATATGAAAACTACACCAAAATCTGGTAACTATCACATCAGGCCCTTTCTCAGCCAGCAGATCAGTGACGAGTGAATCAAACGACCGTGAGTCATGGCTCAGCAAAAAATCCCTGGCCGGAAATTTCCCAGAAAAATGGAAACTATCATGCAGTGTGGAAAGGCTGGTCTTTTCAGTAAGTGGCCAACTGGATATTCATATCCTCGAAGATACACTGAGCCTGTAGCTGGGTCTCCAGTGCCTCCAACAAAGCAACTGGGGGATTTTCTGGGCTTCACAGATAACTTTCTTTGAACATCCTGCATTCTTCAGTCAAAAGGGATTCCACTCCGAATAGCTCCAGCCATCTTGTGTCTGAGGACATTAAGCCAGGTGGCAGAACTCAGTATTGATCTTACATGAATCTGCGGTAGCACTAACTTCCTAGCACGTCCAATCTGCCCCCAGAGCCAAATAAATACTATCCAGTAACCAAGTCTTACTTGAGCTACACTGAGGTCTTGTACATAAGACAGAATTGACTGGATCATTGGCACTGACTTCTACAGCTGCTGGACATGCCAGATCGGTGATGGAAATCCTGATCTCGGGTCCAGTATCAGTATGAATATTGCTCAGGTAGCATCGTTCACCTGCGATGGAGGTTGTCTTGGATTGGGTTCTCCAAAGAGCAGATCTTGAGATGAGAGGTTGAGTTCAGATGGCTTATTTGGAGGAAATCCAGGGAGCGCCAGTCAGGAGCCAGGGAAAAGCGGTAGTGTAGGGCAAGGAGCCCCTCCCAGTGGTCCCTGTGACGTGTCCCCTGTCCAAAAACCTGCTGTCTGACCCTGAAAGCCACTTTTTGACACACTATCCAGTGAGCCCAGTGTCCAGCCCTAGGCCTAAAACTTTCCCGTCTCACCTCAGCTTCTAGAAACCCTGTTTCTCCCAACCCACACACCCACCCTCTGCAGGCTCCAGGCAAACACGCTTGACAAAGCAGGTGGGCTGGTCCGGTCCTTCAGAGGCTTTCAGTTCTTTCTCAGCTGCTCTCAGCCAGCCCTGCTCTTGGACAGCCCCTGGGATTCCTCTCACCTGGTACCCATGACAGGGGTCACCCTGCCCTATTCTCAGCACTCACCTGGCCTCCCCCTGCGCTCCTGCTCGTGGCCCGTGTTACAACACTAACACCTGCCTGCCCAAGCCATGCTCCATTCAGCTCCAAGCCGTCCCTGCTGCCAGGCCCCTCCCAGACTGAGCCACTGCAGAACTCGAAGATGCACTGGACACAGGTGACTGGACAGTGGTCACACACTGGTTCCTGGGGTGGGTCAGGTGCCATCATTGCTGTGAGACACATCTGTCCTCAATGATCTCACCAGACTGCTCAAGCCACCCTTTGAGCAGCACAGCCTTCTTCATCCACTGCAGACGTTTCGTCAAGCAGGATGTTTGCTGTGGGTCGGATTATGTCTCCCCGGAGTGCGCATGCTGAAGTCCTAACCTCCCATGTAACTGTATTGACGATAGGGCCTTTAATGAGGTGATCAAGGTTGAATGAGGTCATAAGGGGAGTTTTAATCCAATAAAACTGGTAACCCCCACCTTTTTTTTTTTTTTAAGTTATGCTATAGGACAGACACATGTGCTCATCAAAGAGCGACAGAGAGGAAAAGTGAGAAATCACCCCCCAGAGCGGATAGCCATGCCACAAGCCCTTCTCCTCTCAGGATCTAGGGCATGCATGCACATGTACCCATTGTGATTTTTTAAGCTGCCAGGTCTGGGACTCAAATCACACAGTCAGCCAAGTGATCTAGCTGCCTTAACCTCCATGCCACCTACTGGCCCCCAAACTGGTGCCCTTATGAGAAGAGAAAGAGATACTAGAACTCTCTACCACGTGAGGACCTAGCAAGAAAGCAAGTCAGGAAGAGAGCCGTCTCCAGGACCCAACTGGCACCTTAATCTAGGGCTTTTGGCCTCTATGGACTATGAAAAAATAAATTTCTGTGGTTGAAACTCTCCAGTCTGTGGTATTTTGTTATGTGTGGCAGCCTTAGCTGACTAATACAATGTTCTTTCCCACATGTCTTAATTTTTGGTTCCCTAGAAGCAAAACCGGAGATACATTCCCTGCTAGAGAATTCTGGGAGACATTGTATATCACAGAATTTTCCTACTCAAAGAACAACAGCATCTGGAGTATTGATCCTCCAGCTCTCATCTCCCTTGTCTGAGAGCTACTCCCAGGAAGCTAGCCCTCTGGCACTTTTGACCTGCCTATCTGCAGAGAGAAAAGACTGCCAGTTAGGCTTTCGCTGCAGGACGCGTAAGCAAATACTGAAACAGTGAGTCTGAGGGTTTATGAGCAAGGCATCAACAGACTCGGGTATGCCACAGAATCACCAGGATCATAGGATCATTTTCAACACAGCCACTGATCAGAGCTGTCACTCGATATGAAAACTACACCAAAATCTGGTAACTATCACATCAGGCCCTTTCTCAGCCAGCAGATCAGTGACGAGTGAATCAAACGACCGTGAGTCATGGCTCAGCAAAAAATCCCTGGCCGGAAATTTCCCAGAAAAATGGAAACTATCATGCAGTGTGGAAAGGCTGGTCTTTTCAGTAAGTGGCCAACTGGATATTCATATCCTCGAAGATACACTGAGCCTGTAGCTGGGTCTCCAGTGCCTCCAACAAAGCAACTGGGGGATTTTCTGGGCTTCACAGATAACTTTCTTTGAACATCCTGCATTCTTCAGTCAAAAGGGATTCCACTCCGAATAGCTCCAGCCATCTTGTGTCTGAGGACATTAAGCCAGGTGGCAGAACTCAGTATTGATCTTACATGAATCTGCGGTAGCACTAACTTCCTAGCACGTCCAATCTGCCCCCAGAGCCAAATAAATACTATCCAGTAACCAAGTCTTACTTGAGCTACACTGAGGTCTTGTACATAAGACAGAATTGACTGGATCATTGGCACTGACTTCTACAGCTGCTGGACATGCCAGATCGGTGATGGAAATCCTGATCTCGGGTCCAGTATCAGTATGAATATTGCTCAGGTAGCATCGTTCACCTGCGATGGAGGTTGTCTTGGATTGGGTTCTCCAAAGAGCAGATCTTGAGATGAGAGGTTGAGTTCAGATGGCTTATTTGGAGGAAATCCAGGGAGCGCCAGTCAGGAGCCAGGGAAAAGCGGTAGTGTC